AAAATATGTTGTTTTATTTTATTGTTGATTTTTATGCGTTTATAACTTAGAATATAATTATCGTGCCAGATGAAGTAGATCTCTTGTATACTTTTCCATGGTCTATAATTTATGTTGCATCCTTAAGGATGTTAATTGCTGTTGTTTTTAAATGATTGATTTTTCTCTTTCTGCAGGAAGTTGTTGCATCCACATCATCGAGTGAATCAGGTTCAGATGTTAATGATACTGAAATTAGAAACACAAAAAGGAAATTTGAGAAAATAGCCGTCACTTGGCCATAAATACAAAACTGAAGTACGCATGATGACATATTTTATTCAATGTAGATAACATTAGATAACATTTTTATCATTACTTGTTATTTAATTACACTGTAGTCGCAAAATACCAAAGAAATGAACAAACTTTCACTTGCTACTTTGTGGAGATGTAGAACCATGCAAATTCATTGATTTGTCTTAAAATTCCCAAATATTGAACATATGTAAATCAACTAAGAGTAACTGTAAAGCTCTGATAATCAACTCCAGGTTTATTACATTTTGTGCTAAAGGCCTTTTGATTTATTTATGGGAGGAAGGAGGGTGAATTTAGGAGATGGTGGGTATTATTGAAAGGTGTTTTCCATCTGTGATGTAGGGGGAGTCATTTTGGGATTTATTTAGGGTGCCTATTATTAGAATTTTACAGCATTTCTCTTACATATTGATTGAGTTTCATATCTCATGTAAATATGCCAGCTCCAAGTATGAGCTGTTTGTTGAGGCGTAAATAGCTTTTTGATTACAGGAAATTGAAAAAGAGAAATAAAATAAGCCCAGTAAACAATTTGTCTTGTAAATTTATTGATTGAAGTACTAATGTAAAGTAGTAGTTTTTATGATATGAGTTACGAATATTAAAATCTGTATGTGAAAATTTTTTAAAATCATTTTCCACTTTTTTAACACTTATCACATTGGATTATGCCACAATATAGCCCATTTTGCAGTTGTGTGCTTAGTTACCTTGCTTTGATACAGACCTCTCTGCTTTTCTCATATACATGCCACCTAGTTAGCATAGGAACAACTTGAGTTACACAACAAAACAAGGTCACCTGCAGCCTTGCTGCCATTCAAAGTCCAGGTCACTGAACAGACAACTATAGAATGGTCTATTAGGTTGTTAACATCATGGGATCATTCCCATGGTGGAAAATTGACATTTTAATCAATTTAAGGACAGCTCCATATGATCGCAATGCCTCATTTTGTACTTTTTTGTGCACAGTTGAAGAAGACTTCTTCCATCATCAAGTTTGCAGTTAAAGTACTGTAGACAATAATGAAAGTACCCCCTTGAAAACAAAACAGTTTTAATTTTTTTTT